TAGGTTGGCAGAAGCTGGGACAAGTAACAGGAGCTCACTCTGTTACGTGGCACTAGGGATTCAAACTGCTGAACTCTCGACTTTCTGATCAACAAGCTCAGCATCTTAACCACTGAGCCACCATGTCCCTGCAGAGTATTTTAAGAGGGCCTAATTACCAAATTTTCACCACCCCCCCCATGCTTCTCCAATGTTCAACCACTGTACCTCAGCCCGATGTGGGGCACTTTTGCTCAGGCTGATGGTCAAGTTGTAGACCTCCAAGGTCACCGATTTGGTAAAAGACACAGCCTTGTGGCCTCGGTTGTCGTTCTCCACTGTGACCGAAAATGGGGTGAGAGCTGGGTTCTTGGAGGAAACGCCCACCATCTTATACACACAGCTTCCCATAAAATCGTATTTGGTTCCATCAAAGGTACGGTAATGTGGATCTCCAGACGCGATGCAGGTACTGTAGGTGGTGGCATGACAACCACGAACCCCGTTCACCACGATGCATTTTGTCTTGGCTTTGCAAGAAGACTTCACGCACACCGTTTTGCCTAACCTGTTATCACACCTGCAATGGGACCGGCAATTTTCGTCTGCCCAAAACTCCTCTCCTGCTCTGTAGGACACCCCGTTGTAAGTACAGTTGCAGCTCTCCATGGGGACGCATTTTTCTCCACTGAAGAGGTATCCTTGGTCACATTGGCAGACTTCTGCACAGGTATTTTGACATCTGGATGGAGCCTCTCGGTCGGAACAGGTTGCTGGGCAGGCATTTCCACAGGAGAGATAGTGGCTGTTCTCGGGGCAGGTCAACTGGACAGGATCCAGGTCTGGAACTGGAGCTAAGCAAAACAACAATCAAAAGAGGCAGAGGGAACGTCAGCAACCTTAGGGATAACAAGGAAACTTTCCTTAGGAAAGTTACATATATGGATAGCATTCATTTGCAATTGACTAATCAGAGTCAACATAAACTAGACCTTGTTCTGGTGCTTCCTGTATGGAATAGCTTCCGTCCAGAGAACCGAGTGGCCCAAACTCAACTGGAGTTTCAGAAGGTGGTGGAGAACTAGCTCTTTCTCCAGTCCTGGAGACCACAATGTTAAAATTATATTGGAGCATTGACACAAATACACAAATATTTAGGAACTGAGATTCAAATCGTCCCTCAACTTGGTGGTGTTTCCCCACAGCCAGTGGTGAGATTCAAATAATTTAACAACCGGTTCTCTGCCCTAATGACCAGCTGGGTAGGCGGGGCTCAGTGGTCATGTGACTGTTTGGGCATGGTCAACTCAACATCACTCACATCGAAGGGGGTTTCATCTTAGCTGTTAAAATGTAATAAGGGTTAACCGGAGAGGCAGTTTCTGTAAGCAGGGCAATAAAGATGAGGCTAGAAACAACACCAGAAGGTTTCCTTCCTGCCTTCCTTGCAGGATTAGCCCTGTAAAGTGGAAAAAACAAAAGGAGATNAAAAGGTCTTAGATCTGGAATTGCACAGAAGGGATCATCTTCTTCATAAAGGTAAAGATTCCCCTCACACATATGTGCTAGTCATTCCTGACTCTAGGGGGCAGTGCTCATCTCCATTTCAAAGCCAAAGAGCCAGCACTGTCCGAAGATCTCTCTGTGGTCATGTGGCCAGCATGACTAAATGCCAAAGGTGCACGGAACATTGTTACCTTCCCACCAAAGATGGTTCCTATTTTTCTACTTGTATTTGTACATGCTTTCGAACTGCTAGGTTGGCAGAAGTTGGGACAAGTAACAGGAGCTCACTCAGTTACGTGGCGCTAGGGATTTGAACTGCCGACCTTTCTGATCAACAAGCTCAGCATCTTAGCCACTGAGCCACTGCATCCCTTAGATCTTCATAGGCTGATATATAACAGAATAACAGAGTTGGAAGGGACCTTGGAGGTCTTCTAACCCCCTTACTCAAGCAGGAAACTAAAAAATAAATAAATAAAAGGTATCTATACAGAGAAATTATTGTCACCGATCACATTATTTTTCATATAGTTGCTCACAAAGAGATATTATCATGTGTTTGTCAAACCTGAAGTGAACCTGGCTGAGGCCATCTTGGAGGCTTCATGGTTGCCACAAGGAAGAAGAAGGGACAGAGAGGGGGGAAATAAATAGCTGGGGTTTTATAGTAAAAACAAAAGGTTTTCCTGTGGGAACCAAGGACATTCTAACTGGTGGCTGGGGAGAGGAGGAGTAAAGTAGCCAAGGAACCACCCAGCACCTCAATTGGACAATATAACTGATGATTTGGGGGAAGGGGAAACTTTCACTTTTTAATAGAGTAAAAACTGCGGGAACTTTCAGAGTTGGTTTTCACCAGTTGTGCCAATATAATGTATCCAATAAACTGTTCTTTTAGGAATCTACCTGCCTTGGAGTTCTGCTTTCCATGGGTACATTATTTGCAACACTGAAAGTATTAATAAGATAGGCGCTTACCTTAACTTGCCATTTTCCCCCTCTCTCCAGGATAATAGTATGTCCATGTAGGTTGATAAGAACTGATGTTACGTCAGTTAAAGATCCATTATCAGCTTTATCATGTTCCACCACCACAGAAAACGTCACCTGCTGTGTGTCTTGGTCAATAATTTGAGCTAAGATGTAAGAACTGGAGCCAGGAAAATCAAAACTCTTCCCATCAAAGGTAGTATAATGGGATCCACCCGATGTTACCACCGTTCCATAACCGACAGGGTAACAGCCCTGGATGCCATTCTCCATCCTGCACTCCTCGTAACTCCCACAGGAAAACTGATGGCAGTCGACAGCAGCAGTGTCCACACAGCGACACTTCTCCTGGCAAGCGTTTGTAGGGTAGAATTCTGCTCCTTTTTTGTAGTACCTGCCTTCGTACACACAGCCGCACTCGGTAGTAGGGACGCACTCGTCCCCATTGAGGACGAATCCAGAGTCGCAGACGCAGCCTTCAACGCACGGAGCATCGCAAGAGCTGGAAGTGGCAAGATTGTGACAGGTGGAAGGGCAGCCATTTCCACACAATTCGTAGTGGGAATTAGGTGGACAGGAAAAACCTGGAAGAGATGGATGATGAGATAGACTGTCAATACAGCATTCCAAGTATTGCCTTTAAGAGCCCTGAAGATCTATTAATGTTGACCCATCCATATTTTGCTCAGGTGTATGGGTTTCCAAATATTTTGAGGCCTATCACTAATAAGTTAAGCCACCAGCTTAGAAAGCAAGAGACCATGAATTCAAGGCCCACCTTAACCATGACAGACAGCTAGGTGACTTTGAGCCAATCACTAGGAGACTGAGCGTTTCAAGTCCTGCCTTAGCCATGAAAGCCATCTGGGTGGCTTTGAGCCAATCAGCAGAAGACCATGTGTTCAGGTCCCGCCTTAGCCATGAAAGCCATTTGGGTGACTTTGAGCCAATCAGCAGAAGACCATGTGTTCAAGCCCTGCCTTAGCCATGAAAGCCATCTGGGTGACTTTGAGCCAATCAGCAGAAGATCACGGGTTCAAACCCTGCCTTAGCCATGAAAGCCAGCTGGGTGACTGAGCCAATCAGCAGAAGACCATGGGTTCAAGCCCTGCCTTAGCCATGAAAGCCAGCTGGGTGACTTTGAGTCAATCCCCAGGAGACCATGAGTTCCAGTCCCACATTAGCCATGAAAGCTGGCTGGCAGTAATTCCCTCCCAGTCCAATCCCCATCACAGGGTTGGATTGTTGGGGAAACAAGAGGAGGAAGGTGTGGGGGATATGTTCACTGCCTTATTTGTACAAACAATAATGGTGGGATATAAATAATCAAATGAAAATAAAGGAATAAATAGATGGTTCCCTATCTCACCCATCCCCGTATCTTGTGTATGGATTTCAAAATGGGGAAAGTTGACCTATATATGAAATTTCCATGAATTTTGAAACCTCTATTTTGGGGGGGGGGGGGCGTGTTTATGATCCTTTTTATTAGCACATATTTATAAGAACTGTCTATGCAATCCTTCTAATCCATGTGCAGAGCAAACATTACTGGCACACTGCACTTCCTATGCTTAGAAAGCTCTCTATCCATCTTGCAAATGAAGGGAATTTCTCTTCCGGTACTAATTTGGCAAAAAATCATAATTTCTCCCTTGCATCTTAATAATAGATCAGTCTCCTGCCTGATCTATTGAAGCCTTAAGTGTCTGGAACGGTACAAATGAGATAACTATGTGATCAACTGGGAATGTCTAAGGAAAAAAGTATTTCTCTTCACCCCTGGTTTCCCCTTGCACATATGTGCTAGTCGTTCCCGACTCTAGGGGGCGATGCTCATCTCCGTTACAAAGTCGAAGAGCCAGCACTGTCTGAAGATGTCTCCGTGGTCATGTGGCCGGCATGACTAAATGCCAAAGGTGAACGCTGTACCTTCCCACCAAAGATGATCCCTATTTTTCTACTTGCATTTTTACATGCTAGGTTGGCAGAAGCTGGGACAAGAAACAGGAGCTCACTCCGTTATGCAGCACTAGGGATTCAAGCCGCCGAACTGCCAACCTTTCTAATTGACAAGCTCAGCGTCTTAGCCACTGAGCCACCAGGTCCCTGATTCATCCCTAATTCTAGAAGAAATGTCTTTCAAAAAGGCTGTTTCCTATGGCATTTTTGCATAGCATCAAAACATTAAATATGCTCTTTCTTCACTCATTTTAGCTCTGGGCTATGGATAAACTAATTCAGTGATTCAATTAAATCATTAAAATATACACATAACCAACTATTTCCATTTACCGGTTTTTAATATGAGAGATAAGACTATGGAGAACGAAAAATGTTCTCCAAAGTTCTGGTTATTAAATAGATCCCCGTATAATGGAAAATCTAAGCAACCTAGTCACAGCTTTATGTTTAAACAGCCATGTTTTAAAAAGTGATAATTAACCTGGTTTGGATATTTTTAACTCCCCAAACTTGAGACTCCATGGAAAGAAGAAGGGAATTAACATTACTAAAGTCTCATCAATTTCAGGCGCCTCTCTAGATTACAGAATGGAGGTCAAGGATGGGTAACCTTTTTTACCGTCGTGTGCGGAAAGAGCAAACACACATGCAACAGCACACCCCTATGCCTGCACCCATAATGCAATGTGTGCGTAACTCCCTGCAATCCCCACACAAACCCCCATGTATGTGCATGCAACCCCCACCCTGTGCTTCCCTGCTCCACTCACCCATTTTTTGCTTCCAGGTTGATGGAGGAGGCTTTCCAGGGCCAAAATGGGGCATGGGGAGCCTCACACGCCTCCCGCGTGCCCCATTTTGGGCCTGGAGGGCCTCCTGCACCAACCTGGAAGCCAAAATGAAGTGCGGGGGCAGTGCATGAGGCCCCAGAATGCAAGGTGAGCACCGTGGCCCCCACACCATAGGTTCATCACCACAGATGTAGGTGTCAGGCCTGCAATTATATTCCTTTTAGAATTTTGGCTTGCCACACTTTCTCTTATTTCATTATGCTGTTTCATTAGTATAGTTGATGGGAGGGGGGAATAGACAGGAGTAGGATTGTGGAAAGTNCTTTCTTTATCAGTTCTCAGTTCAAACTGGCTTCGAGCCCAAAAATAACATAAATACAGTCTCGAACGAGATAGCAGAATGAAAACAAAACAACTCTTATAAGCAATGCACTTCTCCAAGTGCAGCCTTGAATCAGGGTTGCAGTAAACACCAAAGCACTTATCCAAGTGTATTAAGCAATGTTGTACGCACGAAGGAACGTTGACTCCTGCGACTAGGGCATGGCAGCATCTGTCCTTTTATCTCCAAACCTGCCTCTAATGAGCCCCAGCTGCATGAATCTTGTATTCCGAAAAGACTCACAGCAGACATCTGCTGAGTCACAACAGGCATCCTACTGAAAAAATATGACGAAAACACTGCATATTTGATTTTTATGTGTACTGACTGTGGCTAGGATTGTATTTGTGCAACAGTGGAAGAGTGAGGAGATCCCATCAGATGAGAACAGTGGTGGGATTCAAATTTTTTTACTATCGGTTCTGTGGGTGTGGCTTGGTGAGTGTAGCAGGGGAAGGATACTGTAAAATCTCCTCCCCCGCCCCACTCCAGGGGAAGGATACTGCAAAATCCCCATTCCCTCCAAATCAGGTGGGACTCAGGAAGCAGAGAATAGATGGGAGTGGGACAGTCAGAGGTGGTATTTACTGGTTCTCCAAACTACTCAAAATTTCCGCTGCTGGTTTTCCAGAACTTTTCACAATCCACAGAATACGACCTCTGGACAAGAGGATCCCTTTCAACTCTGTTAACGTATTATGTTCTGTTCTGTTCGATCTACATGGCAATGAAATACAATTGGCAGCTGTTCTTATGAATGACAACAACAATGCTTTTGTTCAAGTCTGTTATTCTTTTCCCAACAATCCATACAAGGGAAGATATCATTGATATAAAATGCCCATAGAAATGCTTATTGGGTGGGTGGCGCGATATATTTTTCAAGATATTGGAAAAGTGCAAAATTTACATACAAAACTATGCCTATTGTTGATCGTGAATGTAATCTTTTTTCTAACGTTTGTTTTAGGGTTGTCGGACAAATTACAAAATCAGTCAAAGGGATGGAATAACACACAAACACTGGAACACAGAAATGGAGCAGATTTCAGCTAATGACCAGACTTGGTGATAGAAGATGAAGGCAGAGAAGGAAAGCAGCTTTCAAGAATGCTGAGTACAATTTCCTGGTTCACTTAAGACAGGGGTCCCCAAACTTAGCAACTTTAAGACTTGTGGACTTCAACTCCCAGAATTCTCCAGCTAGCTGGAGAATTATGGGAGCTAGCTGGAGAATTCTGGGAGTTGAAGTCCACAAGTCTTAAAAGTTGCCAAGTTTGAAGACTTCTGACTTAAGACATGTTTGAGGCTCTTCCCGACCTTCTCACTTACCCATATCCGGTCGTTAGGTTTCAGAGTAATGGCAGCCTCTCCAAAGTAAACATGAACAGCCTTAACCGCTGACAGGTTATCTTCACACTCTTTTCCGATGTTGACAGATACCCTGAACCAGGAGGCATCGCTCTCATCACACACAGAGGACACATCATATACCCCACCGCAGAAGTTCCATCTTGCTGAAGCTCCATCAAAAGAAACCAGCTGGGCCTCCCGGGAAATTTTGCACTGGCCTTCTCTGCGCTCACAGCCACGCACGCCATCTTGAAGAACACAGATCTCTTCATCCCCGCATGCTGTTTCCTCAAAGGTGATTTGATCCAGACCATGACAAGTCCATTTCTCAGTGCAGTTGGTTGAAAAGATGCTTTCTCCAGCCTAGTTAGACAATCCACCAGTTGCAGAAGACATGGAGAAAAACAAGGAAGCGTTATTAGATTGACACAGGGCTACGCCTTTTAATCAGAATGGTGTCTCTGCTGTCTGTGGAATTCTAGGAACTGAAACCCACAGATATTAAACCTGCTGAGGTTGAAAAACACTAAGAAATTTGGATGTTACATACTATTAAGTCTCCATGTACAATGGGTAAGATGAGGCATGGTGGTGATGTGGTTAGAATGCAGGCTAACTTTTGCAGGCTAGCTCTGCTCACAGCCAAAAGTTCAATACCGACCGGCTCGAGATTGATTCAGCCTTCCATCCTTCTCTGATCATTAAAATGAGCACCTAAATCACTTAGAAGGTGCTGTAAAGTACTGAAAAATAGTATATAAGTCTAAGTGCTGGTGCTGGTGCTATTGATACCCCATCTTGGTCTGATTTACATAGCATTTATTCCGTCTGGGTTTTTTCCAAATAGTCAATATAACAGCCAATCCTTCTACAATTCTTCTCGGAACAACCTCTATATGTTCAAAATGGGAAAAATGGGTTTTCCCCAAAATCAGGCAAAGTCAGATCTATATACAAATAGTCCTTAACTTACAATCATTCATTTAGCAATTGTTTGAAGTTCCAATGGCAACAAGAGAAGTGACTTATGGAATACTGCAATGTGCTCTACATGGGGCTGCCCTTGAAGAGCATCCGGCGACTTCAGCTAGTGCAGAACGCGGCCGCGCGAGTGATTGTGGGTNAAAAAAAAAAAAAAAAAGGCCTTTTTCGCTTGTTTTTGCCCCCACCCCACAGCTCTTAGGAGCACTTTGTAAGCCTCTCAAACTCTCCACATGCCCTGTTTTTCACAAAAAAAAAATGAGGTCTGCAGAGGATTTGGGAGGTCTGCAAAGTGCAAAACTTTTTTTTTTTAATTTACCTCTTCAAAATCTTGGTGCGTTTTATACTCTGAAAAATACAGCAATTATGAGAGTGGCGATTATTAGACAAAAGGCAATTAGTTACCGAGCGTGCCAAAAGGTGATGGAGCAAATCCGTAGCCTTCGTAATTCTTGTTTCCATAGGCCAGCACACCAAAGGGAGTTTGAGGATTCTCAAGGAAAACTGAAAGTTGGTTAAGATCAGCTTGCAAGTTATATTCTCCCCAGAAATATTCTGAGCCAGGGATCGATTGCCATTGAATGCCTGCTTCAACAGATCCATCCCAGGTCAGGGTTTCGGAGCTTTTTGCCACGACGAGGACATGGTTGTCAAACTTTCTGAGACCATGAATTCGGTAGGCCAGGCCATAACTGTTGACATCGGGGATGTTGATGAGAAATGGATCGTATCCTATGTTCCTGATCTTGATCCCCGTGAAAAACATCAGAACCTGGATCCCAGCATCAGCAGAGATGTAAAGCGCTTGAGGGGACTGGAGCTGAAACTGAGCGATTTTTCCAGGCACCATATCTTGGAAGCCTTTCTCCTGTCCTGACTGATAAACAACCCGCGTGCTTTGACTAGCCGCCACATAGATAATATCGAAGCCCGTCTGCAGAGGCACGGGAGGAACGATGAAAGTCTTGCCCCACTTGGAGTCTGGCAGGAGTTGCTCGGCGACATGGTCGCAGTAATAGTTTTCCTGGACGCAGACATGGCCACTCAAGACTGCCACGGGAGCCGAGGACTGAACCCTGGTGCCAGACAAGTCTTCCGTACTTTGCAACTGAAGAACTTCAAAAGCTTTGAGGCGTACCGTGAGGGTAGTCCCTGCTGCGTACGACCGTCCCTTGAAGTAGACTCCGCCTTGCAGCTCAACGGTGACTTGGGTAGGAGTCTGCCAAGCTACGACAGCAAATTCTTTCTTGTAACTGTCCGCTTTGTTGCCCGGAGGTGTGATGACATAATAGCTATTGCCAAGCTCATGGACCGGGTAGAGGGTCATGCTTCCGACGGAATACAATTTCCGGTTAAATGAGACCACCGAAATGTCGTGCTCGGCCTCAATCACAATGGAATGGGGGAAAATGCCACTGCCCTTCATTTCCAAACTCACGGGGAGATCCACAGGCACCGTTTCATCGCTTGCAACAGAGTAACTTTGGCGGGAGGAAGACCTGGTCACCGTCACGGAGACCCTGGTGTCATTGCCGTGGCCCACGAGAAATAGCTTCAAGCTTGTTTCAGACGGCCTGTTGGTCTCAAAATTCTCCATGAAAGCTGTGATGAATTGCTTTCCCTGGGAGCTCGAGAACGCTTGGCCTGAGAGAAAGATAGAAAGAAGAACAATAAAATACCCCAAGAAAGAAGAAAGTAGAAGGGGCGGGGGTGGGGGAGAAGGGAGACATTTTGGAAAATGCTATGGGCCAAAGTGAAAGGCACATAAATTAATGTTTCACTTTCTTTATCACTTTTGAAGAGATAATATTTACAGGTTTAATTTATTTTACTGTATTATTCTTTACATTATTCACACTTTCACCTCAGGAATTCGAGGCAGTGCATAGTGTTTCCCACAACAAAAATATTGTAAGATAGTTTGGTGGGAGAGAGAGAGAGAGANTTAAGTAAATAAGTCTTCACAGTGATGTGGTACAGCTTGAGAAATGGGCTTGCCTGTGCTGAAAGCTGTATTTGACTTTCGGGAAATGATTTCAACTTTTGTTGATTTGGACAATGCTTTTTTTCCCCCTGCTGGAAGTTCTGCAAATCCCTGTCACTTTTGCAGCATGATTCTTAAATATTCAAAAAAAAAAAAAAATCTCACAGTGAGAATCGCCTGAGCAATACATGCCAGATGACTATTCCACCCAGTTTGGCTTCCTGTACTTTAAAAAAAAAAAAAGGACTTTAAACTGAAGCTTTTGTGACTTTCTGGACCAATCTATATAGTTTTTGGCTAATAACCACAATGGAGCACAAATTTTATATTGCTAAGTAAGAGATTTGTTAAAGGAGTTTTGCCCCGTTTTACGATTTTTCTTGCCACGTTTGGCAAGAATAAAATGCAAATGCCCAGACAGAAAACTTAAAACAGGGGCGTCAAACTCAAGGCCCGGGGCCCAGATCTGATATTTCCAGGGTGGCCTGGAAACAGCAAAGGACCGGTCCGTGGTGCCTGTGCCAGCGAAAACAGATCATGGGAGGGGCCCACGCAGTCTTCCTGAGCTATATTTTTGCTGGCAGAGGACTGCAGGAGGCCGTCGCAGCTGAAAACGGAGCTTGGGAACCCGTTTTTGCTGGCAAAGCACTTAGACCACCACAGGTGCCCTCGACATGAGTGACGTCCAGCTGGCCATGCCCCCCCCCCACAGGTCAAATACAAGGCTGATGCAGCCCTCAATTAAATCGAGTTTGACACCCCTGACTTAGAAGAAATTAGAGGGCAGGTCATTGACACAGCATTAGCAATCATCTGAGAAATTCTTCTAACTCAAAAGACATACCGTATTTTTCGGAGTATAAGACACACCTTTTCCCCTCAAAAAAGAGACTGAAAAATCTAAGTTCGTCTTATACACTGAATGCAGCATTTTTGGCCTCCTGAAACCCCACCCCCTTCACAAAAATGGACGTGCAGGATGTTTGGGAGGCCTGCAAAGTGCTCCTGGGGGTGGGGGAGGGCAAAAATGACAAAAATGGGCCTTTTTGCTCTTTTTTGCCCATCCCCCCAAACCCCAGGAGCATTCTACAAGCCTCTTAAAGGCTATGGATNCCCTGAGTCCCCTCAGGGAAAAGGGCGGCCTACAAATGTTAATAAACATCTAAACAACAAACATCTAAACTTACGAACAGGGGTGGGTTCCTGTTGGCATTACTACTGGTTCGGCGCCTGAAAAATCGCCTAGCTTACCTTCAAGTAGAGTCCACTATGTGTACAGCCACACTTTTCCAGAGGTACACATGCGTTCCCATCAAACATGTAGCCTTCATTACATTGGCAACCTTCAAAACATATCTTAGGGCATTGCACTGTTGTGAAGAAACTGGCACAGCTGGAATCGCAAGCTTTAATGCATGTCTCATAGTGGCTATTAGCTGGACAGAGGAGAGCTGAAGAGGTAAAAGGAGAAAAGGTTTGCCAAATGTTTTCCTTGTGCCGGCGAATAAAATATAAGCAGGATGAAGCTATAGCAACACAGAAGAAGGTTGTTCCTTTATCACAATAGGATTACCCAGCTTCCCTGCATCTCCTGGAGCTTTTCTCGTATAATAATTGCAAATGCAGAGTCAACAAGAAACTGATATCAAAGCTGGAAAAATGAACGAACACCACGAGATGAAGAAATAACTAAGAAGGGACTAACTAGAGCAGTGTTTCTCAACGTTGGCGACTTTAAGTCCTGTGGACTTCAACTCCCAGAATTCCTGGCTGGGGGATTCTGGGAGTTGAAGTCCACAGGACTTAAAGTCACCAAGGTTGAGAAACACTGAACTAGAGTATGGAGAAATGGACAGACTGATCATTAAAATGGCAGCAGAAAGACAATACAGAATATTATCAAACATGAATCTGTTTTATCAGCGGTTGGGAAAAAAGGGGTGGAAATTAAAAATGTAATATGCATTGTTCAGGAAATTAAATTGCCAAGACAACACAACATTTATTAAGCACTAAGAAATATAATTAACTGGGAAAAAATCAATTTAAAAAAAAAAGAACCCGATATCAGAATAAATCTGAAATGGGTTTATCGAAATATAGCATTCGGAAAGGGATTTGGAAATATAATCTACATTTAATGCTACTTTTCTCACGCTTTCTGTAATCCAACTTTGGAAGAAAGTAGCATTGGATTAAGGCTTGTGTAGGAGAAAAGAGAATCTCTTACAAGAAAAACTGGCAAGAAAGATTATTCTAACAGATGGGGATTATCAACCAGGGAGAGTAGATATGAGGAATTTATCTCAATTGTACTGGCAGTTTCTTAAAGTATCCATAAGAGGCATCCTGTCAAGTTTGTTTCTCCTGCCACCATAGCCTTGGAATCAGGATAATTTAAACCTGGCTCAAATTACAACAGGGATACAGTGGCTCAGTGGCTAAGACGCTGAGCTTGACGATCAGAAAGGTCGGCACTTCGGTGGTTCGAATCCCTAGCGCCGCGTAACAGAGTGAGCTCCCGTTACTTGTCCCAGCTTCTGCCAACCCCAGCAGTTGGAAAGGATGTAAAAATGCAAGTAGAAAAAATAGGAGCCACCCCAGTGTCTCAATCTTTCCAGGTTTGTGGACCGATGGGTGGGTGNAGAGAGAGACAGAGACAGAGACAGAAAGAAAGAGACAGAGAGGGGAACAGAGAGAGACAGAGACAGAGTGAGAGTGTGTTTGTGTGTGTGTGAGAGAGAGAGAGATGCAGAGAGAGACAGAGACAGAGTGAGAGTGAGAGAGAGAGATGTCTATAATTACCCAGTGACCACAACTCCGTCAAAGAGTTGAGGGGGGGGGGGGCAGAGAGCGATCCAAGATCGCAGAATGACTTTTTAGAATCTCTCCAGTCCAAGTCTAACATCTTATTGTGGGCTTTCATATATCGGGTAAGTCTAGCCAATTATGATTCATTTAAAATCTGGATCGCCCCAGTCCTGACCCCTTTAGCACAATGACACATTGGTTCTCATGGGTCTGGACATGAAAAAAAGAGAAGACAGATAGACAAAACTGACAGACAGACAGGCAGGCAGACAGATGGACAAGACTGGGATTTGGGAACAAGCTTTCCCCATTGTGTTGGGGTTTACTCACCATTTTGCAGCATTAAGGATGAAAGGAGTAGCAGCGGTAACAGCCCCATTGCTACAGGACACAAAAGGAATATAAGAAGGAATGTTAAACAGGATGTAAACATAAACTAACACCATTGACTGGTATAAAGATTTCCTGACAAAATGCTACATTTCTTTCTTTCTTTCTTTCTTTCTTTCTTTCTTTCTTTCTTTCTTTCTTTCTTTCTTTCTTTCTTTCTTTCGTGGTTGGATATGCAGCCTCTATGACCAGCCATATTTTTATTTTTTATTTATTTTGCCAAGCATGTATAAGATAACAGATATAAGCACGTTTATGAATACAGGAAATGGATATGAATAAGTATGGACAGTAAGACAGGGACAGTAGGCACGCTGATGCGCTTATGCACACCCCCTTACAGACCTCTGAGGAATGGGATGAGATCAACAGTAGACAGTCTAAGGTTGAAGCTGTGGGAATTAGAGGATGCAAAGACAGCGTCAGGGAGAGCATTCCAGGCATTGACCACTATGTTACTGAAGTCGTATTTTCTGCAATCAAGTTTGGAGCGGTTCTCATTTCTATGGATTTATTAGGCAGAAGTCAACAGGACAAGCCTTTCCCATTTGTTGGGTTATCTTCCCCTCCCCTTCCTCCAGTGCCCCAAAATAAATATATATTATAATTTATATATATACACATACACATACACATACAC